AACCTGAAGTCCCGCAACATGTTAATATCTTCTGATGCTAGGGGAAAGAGGATTGGATTATGTATCCCATGAAAAATACTGAGAATTAAAGGCATGCATTGCCCTGAACTGAAACAGTTCTGAATTTTCCGAACGAAGACTTTTTCCAAGACCTTAGAAATGTCTTTGGATAGATACTATAGTGCTTTTTTAAAAATTAATTTTAAAACAAATTGTTTTGAAACCAAAAAATACAGCTCACTTCCCTAAACATTTTTGTTTTGTTTTGTTTTCAAAATGGTATTTTGTCAGGTTGTCTCACACATATGACCCAAGTCAGTTTTAGAGAAGACAACCTTTTTTTTTTAAAAAAAAATTGTTTTGTTTTTTAAGCTTACCCTATTGTGTCCCACCTTCACATTCTGGTTGTGCCTCTCCCTCCCTCCCTCTTTGCTGGGGACTGGGGACCCAAACTGTGCTTCTGCATTTTTACTCTTCTAGCACAAAACGTATAACGTGAGAATCCATGCTGAGGATTGGGCTACTGTTAACAGAAATGTGTAAAATGCAAGTTCGTTTGGAAAAAAAAAAAAAATATATAGATATATGCAAATGCTTTCCCCTCCCCTCCCAAATCACCTACAAAAGGTCACCCTACCAGGCTTCCTGTCTGTAGGTGGAGAGGAGCAGAGCTGGCCTGCAGGCCCCGAGGCTGCAGTGTGAAGGGGAGGAGACTGAAGTTCATCTGTCTTATCTCTGTTCTGTCAATAAAATGGAGCTGGGTCTTTAGATACTTTTTTTTTTTTTTAATTATTTTAAAGAGGAAGAATAAGTTTGTTTTTTGTTTTGTTTTTTTTTTTAAAGAAAAATACCGGCTTTTTTTTTGCTCATCTGTTCAAAATCTCAAATCCTCCACAGTAACAGGCCAGACCATGGAGTTAACGCAAACCCAGAGACCCCTATGGATTAATTGTACTGTTTGTGAATTTGTATAAAAAAAAATAACAAAGATCCTCTTAAAACATTTTATATTCTTACAGTAAAAGGTTAAACATATTTATATAATAAAAGAGGAAATATGAAGTATGTTTTTGAAAAAAAAAAAAAAAAGCCTTATCTGTGTTGTCTGTGCTTTTTAAAGACAGGTATCTATCTATATATCGATGCGTTGGGTTTGGTAAGTATGCCGTGTGGCTAGTGCCGGGGGTTTGGGGCTGTTCAGTCTTGTTCCAGTGAGCTATGGAGGAGGAGAAGGAAGGAAGAGAGCTTGGTGCCTCCTGTGCAGGATGTTGAGTAACATCATCATGAAGAGGTTGTAAGGAAGGGGTTTGGTAGGACCAGCCTCGCCTGCGAGGCTGCGCGCAGCATCCGTGGGGGGAACCCGGGTTCAGCTGCCCATCGATGTGAGGTGTCAGCTGGTGAAGCGCTTGCTAGCAAGTGAATCGAGTATTTGGTGGGAGAGGAAGACATTTGTGAGGGAGGACAGAAGGGCTGTGTTTCTTAATTTTTTAAAAGCTCCAGGTAGATGGCAGAGTTTTTTTTGTGATTTACTTATATTGAGGCCCACCCTGGGTGGAAGCCCTATCAAATAAAAATATTTCCCAGCAGTGCCAACCACCAAAACCGGTGCCCTCACCGGCACACAAGGACCTGGGAAATCCAAAATCTCTTGGTTAGTTTCCACTGCCCAGGCAAAGATTAAAGAGGAAGTAAAGTGGGAACGCATGGGAAAAAAAAAAAAATAGTTTGACTAATCTAGGGTGTCCTTTGTCCTATACCATAATCTTTCTTCTCAACGTATGACTTTTAACCCGATGGGAGTATTTTTAGCCTTCCACGACGTGGATTTTTTTGGATTTTTTTTTTTATTGTTGTTGGCAATGGAGCTTACGCGGTGTTTACAGGGCAGCCACAAAGCCGGTGTCCCCCCCGCACCGCCCCCAAAACCCGGCGCGGGGGGGGCGCCC